TCTGAATCTTATGATTGTGAAAGTAACCAACACAAAACTGGCACCTGGAACTTGTAGTGGTCTCATGTCCAAACACAGTGAGAATTTAAGGGCAAAGAAGTTGTCCTCACAATATTTTGAAAACACACAGTGTTTAAAATATTTAAATCTAAATACTCCAGAAAGAGAGCAAAATGAGAGAACAAGGTTTTGACAGCAAATAGTAACAAAAATATTTTTCATATGCAATCTAATACAAGGTCTTTTCAAATATCAATACTGTTAATTTCAAACAATGTATTTATTTCAAACTATGTTCTGTTAAAAATGAACAGCAACAAATCATATAGTTACAGCATTTAGAACACAGCCTGCAAGGGTCCACTTGTGTAAGTCATTGCAGGATGAGATTTCTAGCTGCTGGAATCCTGTCACCAAAATCTTTGCAGGACCAGGCCTGAAATGCCAGAATCATGGAAGGATCAGGGCTAGCCAACAGGCACCGCTGGCTCTATTCATGCACGGCAGCTGGAGCAACTGGAGGTATAGTCATTTTAAAGTTGCATTGGCCTCTCTGCTCTTGCCATAGTGACACAGTTTTCTGTGCTTCCTGTAGCTACTCTGTTTGCATTTTGTTTTGTTAGCTTGCTGTGCTTATAGCTTGGACTGTCTCCTGACTCTTGGACTTCTGGAATTCTGCCTTGCTGTGCTTAGACACAGTCTGTTTCCTGCCTCTGGTCCCCTGGACTCCTGAAACTCTGCCTTGCCTTGCCTTGCCTCTGGCTCCTTGATTTTGCCTCTTGGCTTTGGCCCATTGGACTCTTAGAACTCGGCCTTGCTGTGATTATATCTAGGCTGTTTCCTGACCTACCTTATGTTGCTAGCCCATTAGACTCTATGAAATTCACCATCCATGGGACAGACCATTGAAGCTGACACAGCTTCACCATATTATAAATTTGGAAAGTGGAGATTCTTACAATAGTCAGTAAATGGGATTCTTTTGGTTTTAAAATGTCCTATTGGGCCTTATTGTACAAGAACGGTTAGTTCCATTTGAACCAGGCTTATAGCACATTTGGTTGGGGCTCCCTGCATGGCATTACCCCTTTTCTGTTATCATTTAAGAGCAAATTCTCACATTTTCTCCCCTGTCCATTCATTTATTGAGCCATGGCCACATAGCACAATAGGTTAGAGATATACAAATAGTATCTGATTATTCCACTTGCAGTGGACACTCCTTTGCTCCATGTTTTATTTTATCATCTAAATGTAACAAGTTGTTCTATGTTTCACTTCTCTTCCAACAAAGCAGAAAAACTTAAAAGCAGCAAATACTCAGGTAAGTGCACCTATGGTCCAAGAGACAATACAGAGGAGAAACCAAGCCAGTCCAGGATCATACACAGAGTCAGCAAAAGCAGAAGGGTGGTCAAAACAGGACAGGATTCAAGCACAAAAGGCAGCCTGAGCTGAGTCCAGTGACAGAGAGCCACTGATGAGAATAGCCTAAAGAAAGATCAGAGATCAACAGAATGAGAAATATCAGACAAAGCCACATGGAGGTTTTGGAGCTTTTGATCACAGCAAGGAAATAGCCTGGGGTATGTCAGCTGGCTGCATTAAGAGACCCAGGAGCTTATGTTTTAAATCAAATTAAGCCTCCTAGGCTTCAGTCAGGAGGTGAAGATTATCACATGCTAAATCGCTGCTGAATCACTGGCGACCAACAGCCCAAGTTGAAGCCGGGCTCAACCGGTGCTTTTTAGAAATTGGAAAGCATTCCACTTTCTAAAAAGCACCGGCTGAGCCCATCTTGGACTCTGGCTGATTGCAGCCAGTGATTCGGTGGCGATCTAGCATGCAATAATCCCCACCTCCATCCCCACCTCCTGGCATGTGTGATGTACTTTTGAGTGTTGTACTATGGCTCTGGAGACCAGGGTTTGAATTGCCACTCAGCCATGGAAACCCATTGGGTGACTTTGGGCAAGTTACACATTCTAAGCCTCAGATGAAGACAAAGGCAAACCACCTCTGAACAAATCTTGCTATGAAACTCTCAGGTGATTAGTTTGCATTAAGGGCACCATAAGTTGGAAACTACTTAGAGGCACACAACAACAATAAATGTTAATCTACATCTAGCTGAAGTTAGCACAGTTGGCCTTATTACTGCTGTATCTTCCTTTTAAGGCAGTTCAAGGCTGCTTACAGCTCACAAGTGCAAATCCTGTATGACAAATGGCAGCTGCTTTCTTTTTTCAGGGTACTGAAGGTACCCTGGAACCTGAATATGCTTCCACTTTCTCAGATGTTGTTCTTGTTTTGCTTCCATAGCTAAAATAATTATGTTGGTAGGATAAGTCTAGATCCTCACTTTCTTCTAGAAGCTTGGCCTTCTTAAAGAAGGCTTTCTCTCACTAAAAATCAGGGGAGGTTTGACTAACTGTCTGTGTATCCTTTCATCAACCTTTCCCCTCCCTTGTTTGGTGCATTTCTTGAAGCAAGCCTTCAAGACAGTCTAGGGAAAGCTTATGGAGCCTTTTTATTTCAAACATTCTAAATGCTTCAGTTTACAGTACAGTGAATTCAGACTGTTCAAAGAATGTGGATCCTATAATCTCTCTCTTTGTACATATGCATGTATGCTCATCTGTCCATCTTTCAGCAGCATTACTCTGATGAAAACAGCATTTGTATTCCTGTCATTTGTGCACATATTCCTCTCCCCACCTCAAAATGACTGATGTCTTCACAACTGAGGCAGATTTTGCCCCGAGACCACTGTTCTGTTCTTGGTCTACAGGGGATATGGCAATGCTAGTAAAATCTTTATCAGGTCACCATCTTTCCCCTTTCTCACTATGATAGCTTGAAGGCTTGATTTGCAAATGTAAACACTGTCTGCCAAAGAGGGAAATAGATTTAGGCAGACATACAAAGGGCAGTGGCCCACTGTGCTGGTAGGATAATTAAGAGCTTTTCCAACTGGGCAATTTCACAATTTATTTCTTTTGCATTGTAATATCCCTTTGGCCAGGATATACCTTTCAAAAATGCAGAGGCTAGTTAACAGAGGTCAGGAAATCTAATAATATCCAAAACCATGTAGTAGTAGAACAAGGCCAAGGAAGTGCTTTCTTTCCTATTTCCATACTGTTAAAATTGTACATGCCATTGTATTTCTCATCACTATGTATGGATATGGGTGCTGTGTGGTAAGGAAAGCTGACAGGAAGTAAATCCTTCCCCTTTCTCTTTCTTGCACACACAGAGATTTGTTTCCTTCTCCAAATAATAGTTTTGTTTTTCCTATTTCCACTCATCCATTTTATTTTATTAAACAAAAATGTTCATGTAATTAGCTAGCACAACAAAGAAGGGCAACACTGTTTCCAGTCACAAGCTTTTGGGAAACAAACAGGGTTTTTTTTTAATTTACCATGACTTGTCACATACAATTTTATATTATTGTCACATCAAAAATCTGTCAGAAACTATCAATAGTAGAAATGTAAAATATTGTCCACTGATTAATGCCATGCTCAGCAAGAGTCCCTAAATTCACAGTTTTTATTTTTTTTTATTTTTTTGTAGGCTGAATTTACATCTAAAACAAAAGTGGAACCATTTGCAGCAATGTTTATGAAGCTGCATATACTTGTTTCTCAAAGGCTATGTTAGACCCTTTTAAATAAATTTCATAATTAATTCCCTACCAGCAAAAAGGCATTAGTAGTGGCAAGTGATTGCAATATAGCTGGCATACACTTGTATCATTTATTAAGCAAAAATCTATTACTTTGAATATCAGCTATTACAAGAATATGATTGGCTTCAAATCTCCAAAACAACTTCAGCTGGTGTCCCAACTTTAGCTGGTACAGTGAAATCATATATATAATTATTTTTAATAATTATTCTAGATTGACAGAACACTATGCAGTTGCCAGGTAGAATTTTTGGTTCCTTCATTTGCCAGAAATTTTTTGTGATAATTCCAGTCAGTTATTCAGTCCTAGACAAAGCGTTTAAATATGTGAAACTCATTTTCAACATTCTCCATTGCAATTCCAGACCTAAAGCTATTTGCATGTTTTTTCAAATGGTTGTTGGCTATTGAACATGTAGAAGTAAGAGTCTGGATCACATTCTACCTCTCTTCCAATTTCCATATGTTATTGGGTTCTGCACAAAGTTGTTCCCTTCCATATATTCAAATGTGTACAGTGGCTTTCAGATATAATTGATCAGTATGGTGATATGGCTCACTGGTGTCACTAGGTTTGGTGTCACCCAGTGCAGTAACTTGTGGTGTCACTCCCTTTCCCCGACCTCTTTCAGTACTACACCATATAGAATCCTTAGTAATTTGACAAACTCATTGACAATAAAACAGAAGCAGCACTAAAACAACATCATCATTGCAATTGGGTATGCAGCACCTGTACATTAGAAGGTTTAAAAAGTTAATTAGCATAGGGTTTTAGCTATGTAGGTGAATTGATATAGTATAAGCTGGGCTTACAAAAAATGTGCTTCTGCTTATAACTAATGTTGTTGAATGCCTTCAAGTCCCTTCTTATTATTTAAGCTTTTAGGTCTTATTATTTAAGCTTTTAGGAATTACAGCTCTAGAACAAGAACCAGTATTTTAAGGTGGACCTGTATCTACTGCTAGGTATTTGGCTAACTTACAAAAATGTTGGCAAGAGTTCTGGGACCCAAATGTCTAAGAGAAGCAATAATAAATTGTATTTTTACTATCTACATTGATTCTGAAATGGAGGGAAAGCTTGCAGTAACCACAAATAACTTGTAAAAAGACTGTACTCCATTTGAAATCTGTAGTTGTTGTTGTTGTGTGCCTTTAAGATATTTCTGAGTTATGTTGACCCTAAGGCAAACCTACCATAGGAATTTATTGACAGAGGGGGGTTCAGAGGGGGGTTGCCCTTACTTTCCTCTGAGGCTGAGAGAGTGTGACTTGTCCAAGGTCACCTAGCAGGTTTCTAAGGCAGAGCAGGGATTTGAATCCTGGTTTCCCAGCATCTCAGTCCAATGCTCAAACCACTGCACTACCCTGGCTCTAAACCCATTTAAAATAAGTATTAAGAAATATATCCTTTGGCTCAAAATATGTTCAAAACCACCCTGTTCTATAGTTCTATGTATACTGCTTTTACACAGGGCTCCAATTAATGGATTTTATGATTGTAGTAAAGAAATTAAACAGATTCCACCTGAGCAATCTCTATTCTAGAAGCTTCCTAGGGACCTTATCCCACGCTGCTCTCAAAAGTGGCAAGAAACCGATATGAGCATCATTGCAGTACTATAGCGCTAGTATAATATGGCGCTAGCGCTATAATAGCGCTATGGATAAGGTAGCGATATTGCAATGCCCGATGAAAACAGGCATACAAAAGAACCCGAATGATGCTGCATTCCGAGCGGTTTCTTGTTGTATTCTAAGCGACGTCGTGGGATCACCCGGAAAACTATAGCGCTATAGCGCCTGATTCTTAGCGGATTCCGAGCGACGTCGTGGGATCACCCGGAAAACTATAGCGCTATAGCGCCTGATTCTTAGCGGATTCCGAGCGACGTCCTGGGATCACCCGGAAAACTATAGCGCTATAGCGCCTGATTCCATGTGGATTCTTGCTGCTTTTGGCCCCGTGGGATAAGGTCCTAGGACTGGGAATTTCTACACATATTGAAAAGCAAATAATTGGGAAGACAACCCTTTTAAGTTATTATTAAAGCAAACCCACTGAAGCAGAAAGATTAGTTAAATTAAAGCTTGTGTATGTCCCATAGATTCAGTGGGTCTACTCTAACTGGGACAAATCACTGAATGCTTGAAAAAGGGGAAGAATTTACTCCAATGCTACCGGCTTCTTTCTCTCAGTGCCACAAAGTCCCTTTACAGACTGATTTTCCAGACTGACATGGCTAGGTCTTTGAATTGCTCCAATTATGTTGAATTTAGGATGCATGCATACCACACCATTATAGCAGCTTGATTGCAATTTAGCTGTCATAACTAATCCCAGGAATCCTAGGATTTGAAGTCCTACCAGCCCCTCATTTTACCGGGGAATGAAACTCTAGTGCAGCCCAGATTCAAACCCACACACGGAGCTTCCCCCCCCATCTCCGTACCTGGGGGCATTGGAAGCTATTTGGCTATTTCTGCCAAAGACAGAGTTTGGGGAGCAGTGATACTCGTTTGGGTTTCACCTGGTGTGGTCTGCACCCCCCACACCCCCCTAGGGACACTACTGATATGGCTGAACTGAATAGTCATATGCCTAAGGTGCTGGATAATATATTATTTTTAAAATTATAGCCATGTTAGTGTTCAGCAATTTATTTGAAAATGTTTCAGAAGGGCCTTGCAAGCTGTCTGCCTACCTTTAAGTATAGGGAACGACTTTCAGCCTAAGGGATGAATTCAGTTATTGAAAAGCTCTTGGGGACCATGTTCCAGTGGTAAGTGGAACCCAATGGAAAAAGTTGGGACCAATTTAATTTTGGCTTAAAGCTTTTACGTTCAGTAACTATTCTGGTTAACAAGGCATTTAATCTTTTAGAGTGGGGAAATAACACAAATATTCTAGGGAAATTTAGTGTCAAGGGGATGGAGGGGCTATGGTTGGCATAGATACCAGAAGGGCTAGTTTAGCTCTCTCTGTCTTACTCATTTGTGGGTTGGGAGCCTCCAGGTCTGGATTTCAGGTTTTGCATCCTGGTGGCATGAGAGAGCCTCTTGTTCACTCAGGTGGAGAATTTCATTCCACTAATTTCACTCTTGATTTATGAACCAATGCTAGTGTTTTTTCTGGTAGCATCTTAATACTTTTCTTGACACATAATGTGTTTGGCAAGCTTTATAAATTATGGAGTATATTCTTCTCTTCATGTCTCTTTTCTGTTCTGGTCTGAGGTACTTGAATACACATTTCCCATTCTTAGCAGAGCTCTACTTCACCCAAATGGCCAGAACACAGTCCCTGTTGCTTCTTGCGCAGCTCTCTCCATTACATATTATGGTCAAAATCCTACTGGTATAAGTAATCTCACCATCTACCTCTTTTCCAGTGCACACCACTGGTTGTTGTGCTCATGGGTGTGTGTGTTGAAGCTTTGCCATTGTGTTGTTGTACTTCTGAATTGCTTGCTTAAGGAAGTATTGGATTGGTAGAACTACTAGTAAAATCTCATAGTTTCCCAGTCTATGAAAACAAAAGGGCTTAGGCCTATCCTTTCCTCTTGATAATGTTTGGTCTCTCACTGTCTGTTCTGTCTTCCAAGGCTTGCTAATTAACAAGATTTGGGATATTTGTATTTTAATATGCCTGACAGAGATCAGTGGGGGAAGCAATGTAGAAAATAGACAGATGTAGGGGACAACAAAATGTGAGATGTGAAAGTATATATAGAGAGGTAACTGGTTAGTTTCATGTCATTGGAGCAGCGAATCCATTCTGGGGTTTAGTTTGTACTTTTAAGATTCTATCCAAGATTCTGGTCATTGTGGAATATGGTTGAGCATCTTGCAATACCCATTTAAAATTCAGATTAAACCCCAGAACAGACTCAGCCTCCCCAGTGAAATGGAAGTAACTAGCTATAGTTATATATGATGGGATTTTCACAGAACTCTGCTGGTGGCCAATACAATCTATATTCTGTACTCTGCTGGTGACTATACAATCCTAATTCCTGTGCTGAATCAGGAAAATGTTGATCTAAAAGACTGGATTCAGGTTAGGCCTTTTGCTAGATGGGAGTCTTCATCAGTAAAACATCTTTCAACCTGATCATTAGGGATCTTTGCCTCCCCACATTCCACTGCACACAAGTTTCTCAGACTGTCTATGTACCGTAGCATTTTCAGGAGGCTGGATGGGCTGCTATGGGTAGATGGGAACCAGAAAATTCTACCTGTACAGTTGCCAGTGCTCAAATCTGGAATCAACCCACAATGCCTGTGTGCATTCTGTGTGGTGTAGCATGAATGAAACAAACACAAAATAAATAAATAAGACTACATGCATCAAAAGGAGATTGCTTGGAAGCTAAACCTCTGAGCTGCAGAAAAAAATATTTCCTGGTCTACAATGTGTTGTTTCACAGAAGTCTAGCACAAAATAGATTAGGACTATATTAAGGTGGTATCTCATGTTTAAGGAAAAGTAAACAATAAATTAACAGGGTATAGTGCTGGGTGAATTCTCCTTGGCTCCAATTTGGAATTATCTCAGTATTTATGACCTTTCCCAGCAAGCACCTGGTGGTGAACCAGGCCTCTTTTACAAGAGTTTTTGGTACATGTTCCCTGACGGTGCACTTAACTGGATTGTCCCTGAGAACTTTGGATCTCTGCATGAAGTCAGAATTGAGTGCCTTTTCAAAACTGGGCCGCTGCCTTCTGCCAAAACATACATGCTTAGAAGTATATGAGGGATTTAGATCCAAAGTGGGAACAGAAATGTGTGCAAGAACTGATTAAAAGAATTGACCCAAATAGATAAGAAACTCCAGAGAAAAGATTGAATACTCAGATGGTATGAGTAAATTCACAGAAACCAGCCACAGTTTATGTGATAGTAACACAACCTCTACCCACCTCTTTCTAAACTCAATGGGACATACTTCTAAATAAATATACATTGGATTCTGTGCTTTATTGTTGTTCAAATAAACCTTCAATATTGTTTTGGATGTATGTGTATGCTTTTGAGAAGGGTTTGTACATTTTTACTCTCTCCTGCATTTTCTTGCCCCTGCTAGCAGACAGTGAACTGAATAATAACATTTCTCTTCTCTTGCCAATTATTCTTTAGCCCAAATTAGGGTACACACAGGTAGAGAACAGCAAGGGGATAATTGAATCCTCTTCACTAGGTTTGACCACTGGTGCCAATTATTAGGCACCATAGGGAATTTAATTCAAACCTTTGGCTGCTTTGAGTTTCAGGAAGAAAGGGGTTAAGACAGGAATGCAAAAAGAAAAGGAAAACAAATGAAAAAAACAATAACTGGCTTTTGTTTTCCCATGCTGGCTGTATCCAGAGAGAATCCCACCTAATGTGCATGCTACAGCAGATAGTAAGAAAGAATGCTACTGCTTATGACTGATTTCTTATTTAAAAGTGTGAAGTTGTCCAAGGAAGACTGAATGTGTAGTGAATAAAGTTTTAAATCAAGAAGACCTACTGCTCAACACTAATATGACAGTTAAAAAGAGCTTCTTGAGCAGTGTACTGAACCACCTGGAGGAAAGACAGGGAAGGGATGTGATGAATAAATACAAAGTAATAGTTATGAGTCAACTGTGTATGCCAATCACTCTGAGTCTGAATCCTTTTAAATAAGCTACCCTTTTAAAGCCATTAATTACAGGTTTGTGCCCTATTTATCCTACAATGTGCAAATGTAGCTTATCACTAAATATTTTATTACCATTAATTTAAGTATTTGTTTTGATACACACGTGGGTTGCTGGACCCCATCATCATAATGCACACCTCTGGGCATACCTCCCTCCCTCCCCCCATGTATGACTTCTCATGAAATCATGTTTATTTACTGGATTCCATAAACTTAAGGATATTTATTTGTAAATATCAGCATCAGAAAATAACTTAGCATGCTATTTTCAGTTCTTGGAAACTAATTGACATTAGAATAGGTGCATTTTCTATTCTTATATGACACAATTTGAACAAATGTGTCATACAGATGAGAACTCATTCCGCAAAGAACAAAACCAAGTTGTTGTTATCAGTCACATCCCAATGGAAATTCAATGATATAGCCATGTTAGTCTGTAGAAATTTCCCAATGGAAATTTACTCAAAAATAATAAAGCAGAAGCTTCTTTTAGTTGTCTTCAGGTGGTGTCTCAAAATTTGTAAGGATTTTAAAAAGTTTCTCAGTATCTTCTTTATGTGTTTTTGCTTTTTAATGTCTACTAAAGAGGCTTGTTTTTATTACTTACTGGTTAATTATTATTCATATAATAGTCTGAATGTGCAAATCCTTTCACATGAATCACCTCAGTCATTTTGCATGGG